CTGAACTCATTTTCATCCACTCCTTTCTCTTCAGAACCCAAGTTATTTTCTGAGCTTCACCTTTTACTTGTTCCTTTCACTCAGTCAGTAAATGTGCCTAAATCATGCCCATCCTAAAACAACATCAATCTTCCCACACTACTCAGTTCGATAGACAAGATTCTACCTCTACTGATCCATTGACACTGGTGGATCAAAATGGTTACTAACTGCCAAATTAAATGGACATCCTTTAGTCCATTTCTTAAAAATTTTTTTTGAGATTTTTATTATTTTTAGAATTAAAGTGACCTCTATCAAATATATGCTCATTGCCACAATCTTGGAAAGTACAGGAAGTGGACATACATGTGGCACATTTCTTTGACATTTTTGGGCATTTTTTATTACAGAGGTGAGATAGTCTAATTTTTTGCTTCATCAACCTCCAGTAGCATTTTACATAATTGACTGACCCAGTTCTTCCAAAAAACTCTGCCACTGCGCACCACCATATCTTCCTGCTTTTCCTATTTTGTTGGGCCCTTTTATTCCCTTCACATGTTAGCTTTCATCAGGGTCAGGCCTCCAGTCTTTCTGCTCTTATATGCTTTCACTTCCATGGTTTTACTAAATAGATCTTGAAATCCAAAGAATCTACATTTCCTATTTTGACTTCTCCAACCTCTAGACTCATAAATCCAATAACTTCCCGGTCATCTACTCTTGGATGTCGTAGAGGCACCTCGTATCATCCCTTCTGCAACACTGAACTCATCTTCCTTGTTAAACTTGCCCTTCCAGTAGTGGTGTCTCTCTAAGGTTATGGTAGCATCCTTTACCCAGTAACCCAGGCCAAAAACCTAGGACTTTTTTATTAGAGTCCTGTCTCTTCTCAAGTCACATGCCCCCATCAAGTTCTGTTGATTGTACTTTCCGTGTATTATCTGTGGAATTTGTCCACTTTTCTTCATCCCCACTGTCTTTACCTTTTGTAGTTCTGCAATCATACCTAACCTATAACGCTATAGCGACACAATAGTCTGTCTTACTCATAACTAGCCCATGGTAACAGTTAACTAAGTGGAGTGTCTGCACTTGAGTTTCATTGCTGCTTCGAATTTATTCTGACACCAACTGAATCAGTGTCTTTCTCTTCACAACAACCATATCCCTTAACTTTAACCTCTTAACAGCACCTCTAAATACATCGATTTTACCCTCTCCAGTCTCTTGCCCACACTGTTGTCAGAAAGATTTTCCTCAAGAGCCAATCTGATTATGTCATTCCCTTGCTCAAAATCTCAGCAGTTTCTCATCACCTCCAGGATCAAGCCCAAAGGGCCCTTTGTGATCGGACTCTCGCTTCCCTCCACCCATTTCTCTGCACCCCTTCTGCTGTTTGGTATGCTACAGCTACTCCCAATTATTATTATTATTATTATTTTTTTAAAGATTTATTTATTTATTTGACAGAGAAAGATCACAAGAGACAGAGAGGCAGGCAGAGAGAGAGAGGAAGCAGGCTCCCAGCTGAGCAGAGAGCCCGATGCGGGACTCGATCCCAGGACCCGGAGATCATGACCTGAGCCGAAGGCAGTGGCTTAACCCACTGAGCCACCCAGGCGCCCCTTATTATTATTTTTTAAAGATTTATTTATTTTAGGGAGAGGAAGAGAGTACACAAGCAGGGGAGGGACAGAGAGGGGAAGAGAGAGAGAGAGAGAGAAAATATCCAGCAGATTCCCTGCTGAGTGGGCCCAGACTCTTGACCCTGAGAACATGACCCAAGGTGAAACCAGGAGTCTGGACACTCAACTGACTGAGCCACCCACACGCCCCTCAGTTATTTTGAGGTCCCAGAATGCAATACCTCCAAATCTTTTCACATGCTGTCCTTCCATTTGGAAGACCCCCTTTCCCAGTCTAACCCTTTTACATGACTATGTCCTACTACTCCATATCAGCTTATAAGCTACTCTCTGTGAAAGGATTTTCCTGACTATTCTTCCACCTCCAAATTAGGTGTGTGCTTTCAGAGCATTTTGTGCTTATCCTCTCTTTCCCATTTGTATTCTAATTGTCTGCCTACCAGGCTTTATTACATCCTCCTACAGTTTGTGAGCTCCTTGAGTGCAGAAACCACATCTCATGTGCTGTTACAATACCTGAAGGGCTTTACATGCCTTATTTTGTTTAATCAGCACAAACACCCTTTACGATAGGTACCATATCATTCCTATTTTACAAATGAACTGAAGCAAAGAGAGTTTAGGAAACTTGTCCTGAGTTACCAAAATAGATAAAAATCAGAATTTAAAAACCAGACAACTTAACACTAGAACCAGTAGATTGCTAAATCCTTCACCTTTAATTTAAATCCCTTCTCCACACAATTTGGCAGTAACCTCCCTAAAACACAGATCTGACCAGGTGTTTTCTTTGCCATCCCCTCAGTGGTCCCTAGGCCTGCCTGCCTGCCATATCCTCTGTCATCTGGCTCCTGTCTACCTTCTTGGCTGTGGACCAGCCCCTCCCTAGGACTCAATCCTGTTGCTGAAGCACCACCCATTCCACACTGTCTCATTTTAAGTGTTGGTCTATCAAAAATGCCCCTTATCTCCTTATCTTTCTGGAGAAGCCCTGTTCCTCTCTCAGAACTTACTTCATAAAAGCCTTCCTGATCACTCTTTCCCCAGCCCTTTGCAGCTATTGGAGTGACTCGTGCCTCCACTCTCAGAAGCTATGGGACTTGGGCAAGTTATTGTTTTAGTCTCCTCATTTGTGTAATGGCAGCAGGATGACAGCCTACTCAGAGAACTGCTGTGAGGAATAAATGAGAGGATGTAAGTTAAGCACGTAGCATGGGGCTTGACACATCCTAAGTACTCAAAACATTTAGCAATTACTTACTCATCCCTGTATCTCTATGTAGCTAGGCCTCTACAACCCAAGTGTAACATTATAGTGTGGTTTCTTCAGGTGGAAAAGAAAGCACCCACATATCACTTTTATTTTAGCACAGTGACTGGCATATTTTGGACTTTTATTAAGTAATTGAACTGGACTATTATTTTTTAAAGATTTATTTTTAGAGAGTGGGGGCAGAGGGATAGGGAGCAGAGAGCCTGACCTGGGGCTAGATCTCCTGACCTGAGCCAAAACCAGGAGTCAGAGGCTTAAAGACTGTGCAACCCAGGTGCCCCTTGAACTGGACTATTTAAATACCACCCGTCTTTCAAGGACCAGTTCAATTTCCATTTCTACCAGTAATATTTACCTAATGATTCTAGCCCTTTGGATTTTCCCTTCTGAGAATGTTTTTATTTTTTAAGATTTTATTTACTTATTTGACAGAGAGAGAAAGAGTGAGAGGGCACAAGCATGGGGAGAAAAAGGCAGGAGAGGGAGAAGCAGACTCTCTGCTGAGCAGAGAGCCCATCCCAGGACCCTGGGATCATGACCTGGGCAGAAGTCAGATACTTAACCAACTGAACCACCCAGGTGCCCCTGCAATTTTTTAAAAAAAGATTTATTTGAGACAAAGAGAAAACCCAAGTGGACTCTGCCCTGAGTGTGGAGCCTGATGCAGGGCTCAACCTCATGACCCTAACTAAGATCACCACCTGAGCGGAAACCAAGAGAATTCTTTTACCACAGCCTGACTGCATGATGCTATGCAGTCTTGCATCATATGTTGAAGTGTTGTTTCAGTGAAGCTCCAAGTTCCTCCAGGGCAGACACCATCTCTTATATTGTCTATCTGCCCAACAATAGCTGATGTTTCTAATTGCAAAGTGAGTGTTCAACAGTTAGATGTGAATGAACAGATTGGCCCAAGCATGGGATGCCTCTACCTTATCATTAGTGAGTCCCCCATCTCTAAGAAATTTCAGCTAACAACTTATCTCCTGATTCTCCTTCCCTTGGCTCTTGGCATTCTGCTTAGAACATGAATTTGCATTTATTTTTATGCTTCCGTCCTGACTTAGCTTCCCTTTCCTTGGTAACTTCCCTCAAGGCCCAGTAGAGGGCACTACGCACCCCAGGGCTGCTTGTGTGGGCGCTGCTCGCTCACTGCAGATCTTCTGAAAGGCAGCTCTCCAAGTTATTTGTCTTTTGCCCGAGTTTTTCCATGCCCAGGCCACATCAGCTTAAAATAAATGCTGCTGGACAATAATCATGGTGACTTCATCCCTGCCACCCTGTGTATCAGATGGCTGAGAGGCTTGTCAGTAGAATCATCACTCAGCCATGTTGGAGGAATGAAGAACTCTTGACTCCATTCTTTGGAATATGGGCAGGAATTGCGCTTGAAGCAGTGCAGAGCAGTCTGTTCTGGTTGTGTGGCGGCACAGTGTGGGAGTGAGGAAGAAGGGATGGCAAGGTTTTATACTGTAACAGAGACTGCCACAATCCTTTCTTGGCACCCCAGGATTCCTAAGACTACAGCTTAAAACCAAGGACCAGGGAAGCCAGGAATAATGGAAAAGTCATATAAAAGCCTAGATAGAAGGCGCCTGGATGGCTCACTTGGTTGAGCATCTCGGCTCAGGTCTTGATCTCAGAGTCCTGAGTTCAAGCCCAGCACTGGGATCCATGCCCAGCATGGAGCCTATTAAAAAAAAAAAAAGCCTAGATACTATCTCAAGCTCTTCAGTGAACTAACTCTGCCACCTTATAAGTAATTTATCTTTATACTTCCACTTCTTTATCTGTATTAAAAATGATACTGCACTGAATGATCCCACATTCAGCCTCACTGATCTCACTCCCCAGCTGTATCCACCTGGCAAACATACACTAGAGATGGCATGCTCAAAAAATCATGGGACTGGTTTAAGGGGAATAAGGATGAGAAGACTCGCTAACCCCACCACAGTAAACATTCTACAGTGTGTGTGTGTGTGTGTGTGTGTGTGTGTGTGTGTGTGTGTAGCTCCTAGTTTTGAGTTTATAACTTCTGAAGTAGTATGTGAACTTCCGCGTAACTTTTCTTCCACAAAGACAATAAACCCCACAAAGGCAGGGAATGTTTTTAATGCATCTCCATATCACTAGCTTACTCAGAAAGGCCAACGGTTGGGAGGCATCACAATCCCCTGGCTAAATCAGGAGAGAACAAGTCAGTAACATCCTGAGTAGCTGAACATATTTGGAAAACTTCTGATTAGGGAGAAAGAATGAGTTAGATGCTGAGAACAACATTCCTAGTCCGGTTTGGAAGTATCCTTCCCCCCTCAGTGAGCTCAAGAGTTGTCTGGAATATCTAGGCCTACTGGACCTTGTTTATCTTCCCTGGTGCACACTCATTTGAGAAGCCAATCACATTTGGGAAAATATAATATACTCTCCTACTCAAAGCTGGGTAAAATGGGCAAGTAGACTACCACATGTGAATGTTGTGTGTGTCAGGGAGACAGAGGTGAGTTTTTTGGTATCTTTCTTTTCTACAATACATTCATAAGCAGTTTTTAAATTCTTAAAGTGGCAGGATTCTGGCCATGCTTGGGAAGTGGTGAGGAAAGGAGTCACTCAGCCCCACACTGGCCACAAGCAGAAAGGCTTGAGTTCCTTTGGGCTTATTACTAGAGGTCACATTTCTCCTTCACAGACAGAACTTATGAAAGAATGGAAGACTGAAAAGGGAAAAGGGAGAGTGGGCTTTTCTTTTTTGCTTAGCCTGAACTAAGCTCTAGGTATTATAAACTATTTAGATCAAATCCTTCATTTTGTGAGCCAAAACCTGAGGCTGATGCATCTTCTACATTAGCTACAGAAACAAAAGGACAGAGAGGAGTCAGGAAAAGTCCAGATCTATATGCTAACATCCCTAATTCCCTCTCCCCAAGTGATGGAAGCAGGGAGCCCAGTCATATCCCATATTAAGGGCCCCTATTCCTTAGAACTCAAGGCCCCACACCAGCTTCTCCCCTGAATGGTGTCTTATTTTCATTTTCTTCCCTTTCCCCAAACCCCAATAAAACACACCAACTGCTTCAGAATATTTCTGGGTTGTGTTTTTTTGTGGGTCGTCATTTTTTTTTTTTTTTTTTATTTCAAATACTGAAAAAGTCTCCTGGGCTCTGTGGGGCTCCCCACGCTCATGGCCCCCTTTCCCCACACTCACTGCCCTTCTCCCCACAGCAAATCTATTTCAAGGACAGCACTTTTTTTTCAGTGAACAATTAACATTAACTGTGTTCTCAGCTTGCTCTGCAGAACCAGAGGAGCTGTTTCCATCTGTCATATACAGATGGAGTTTGTTTTTTTTTTAATCTGACACCAGATCCCCAGCCACATCCAAGCAAACAAGGCATTTTTCTACAGAGCTGAATTAGAACTCATCTGGAGTCTATGCCATTCCTCCCCCTCACACCCATCCCACACCAGCCACATGGTTAGGAAGGATAGTCAGGAATGTTTTTATCAACTCCAAGCCCTATTTCATATCCCCCACAAATTTCCCACCCCACCCTCTTAAACACCACACCCACACCCCCCCCACCCCCTCCCATCCCCGCTAGGATTTCACTGAGATTTCTCCCAACAGTTATTTGGAAAAAGGTAAAACAAAAAAGGTTCAGGGTCTTGGTGCTCAGCCCAAGGGGCTCCATGCGCTGGGACACCGACGGGCAGGGGCTTCTGCCTCTCCAGCCCGCACCCGAGCCACCTCCTGACCCCTGGCTGCAAAAGCAGGGAGGGGGAGGAGCCAGCACAGGACCCAGGAGGGCAGCGTCTCAGGATCTGGCGGAGCCCCGGGCAACATCATTCAACTTGGCCACTGTGGACGAACACAGAAGAAGAAAAAGAAAACACTGTCAAGTAATAGGGGAAAAAACCCGATGTTCCATCCCAGTCCCTACCCCATGACTCTTCCATACTTAACAATCATTAGGCTACCTGGCACAAGCCTGAATCCAATCCACTGAGAGTTGAAGAGAAGACAGAGAGACAGAGGAGAAGGGAGAGGGGAGAGGGAGAAAGAGGGCGGGGGAGAGGGAGAAAGAGGGCGGAGGAAAGGGAGAAAGAGGGCGGAGGAGAGGGAGAGAGACGGAGAGAAGAGGAGAGAGGGAGAAAAGGGGAGGGGAGAGAGAAAGAGGGGGAGAGAATTTCAGTTTTTTTCTATCCGCAAAACAAAGTGTTCTCCATCTTTCTGGAAATACCCATGAAAGCAATACAGAAAATTCTTTAGACAAGATCAAAATAACTCGAGGTGTGCAGGAGATTAAGCTGCCTGGCCTAGGGCAGGCTTGGTTTCACAGGCATGGCACAGCCAGCCGCAGCAGCAGGGGATAATGGGGACACACACACAGTGATAAGGAGGGGATAGCATGGAAACTGGGGCCTGGCAATACACATGTTGTTCTGAGTGGATTTAATAATCTAGGTTTAATCGAAGTGATTTGGATTTGGATTTGGGAATGACCCTTTGCCATGAAGTGATGTATTTCATACTGTGGAAACAGGTGGCAAATACACAATGTGGCTCGTTTCTTTGTTTTCTTAGCCTTGAAGACGACCAGGTACAGAGAGCAAGCAAGACCAACAGTTTCTGATTTCCCTATTTCCTCTGTTCCTTCCTAAAAAAACAGACTCGTGACCTCAGTCTTGAGGATTCAAATGACCAATAGAGAAGGCAGCTCGGACAGAAAAGAAAAGAGTACAAAATTCGAGAGGATCGGAGATGAAGAAAACGTATAAAATTATATATATATTTATATATATAATAACATGATATATCTATATGTACAACATGGCTGCGACAGTTGAGGAAACTATACAAGGATGTTCGGCAATTTCCCCTTCCCACACAGACTTTAGACTAAGGAAGACAGCATGAGGAATGGAGCAAGAAACACAAAAATTATATACAATTACAAGTGACAGTCAAAGGAGTCTGGGGGCCAGGGAATCCAGGGATCCTGCTCTCTCCATTCCTTCCTCACCAACTCCCTCCTATCCAATCTGAGTGACAGCCTGAAAAGTGAATGGCCAGTCAGGAAAGAAGTATACACACCTGCCATCATCCCACATGTGCATCAGCAAGTTCATGGTCATTCTCATCAGGCCAAATGTTTGGCATATCAGAATTTATGAGGTGAGAGGGCAAGAGAGGATTACAGAATCTTGCTCTCCTGAACAGCTGGTTCTTTTCCTGGCTGTCTCTACGCTAACCAGCAGTAGGATTCAGGCCAAGTTAAGTAGGGTGAAGGTGCTGGCCACTAGCACCACTCTCCCCCACCTGCTCACGAGTCCGCATTGCTGCTACTCATCGCACAGGGGCTGAGTTACCTACCTCTAAGATGGCAGAGCTTTCTCTCCCTGATCACCTTCCCCCACCAGCTTCCTCCCAGGTGAATCATCTTCCTAAGAACCTGCTGCTCTAGCCTTGCCACAGTTCCAAGGCCTGGAGGCTGGCTTCAGCTTGTCCCTTTTCTTCTGTTCTCCCTAACAACACACCTGGCATCTGACTACATCTGAAACGTGGAACTCCACCACATATGTGTGACTGAGCATGTGTGCTCAGGCCCACAGCTGGGCTGCCACAGCAGGTTTTTGTAGCAAAGGTTCAGACTGGAGGCCAGGAGAGTGGGTGGGGCCAGAGGCAAGAAGCTTCCATAGAAGCTAGCTAGCTTAGAATTTTTTCCTTTACCCTTAAGACCACAATACTTCTGAGGCCTCCTTGACTGAATCTGTACCTCCCAAATCTCAATGTCCTCTCTCCGCATGCAGTCCTCAAATGGTTCCCCTCTGTGGGCTCAGCCACAGGTCTTCCTCATTTAGTTTTACAAAAATAGCAAAGACTTTTTTTTCAGCTGGCAGTTAAATTAATTTTAAATTTGAATCAATCCTATCTATATTCACTTCTGTTACAGATGAGGAAATAGAAATCCATAGAGGTTAAATGACTTGATCAAGTTTACACACCAGTTCTGCTCAGAGGGCAGCTAGAACCCACATATCTTAACTCCAAACCCAGTGCTCTTTCCACTACCCCATACTTGCAAAAGCAACATGCTGGAAGAGAGAGAGAAGGTACCCATTTCATGTAAATGATGTGCTCCAATCTTTACATTATGTAAGAGCCAGGGCCAACTGTTAGAGACTCTCTGAGTAAGGGAGGTTAAGTGGGCACTGCAGTTTTAGGCAAGCAAACCACTTTTTCTTTTTGAGGATTCTCTAAACCTGCCATAATGGAAACACGAAGCAATAGCAGCCTAAGGGAAAAAAACACTTAGAAGCACAGAAAACAGATCTCATTCACTCTACCTTTCCCAGCTATGTCAGGTTAGCCTCTGGATGTAAACCTACCGAATTATTCCCAAGACTTAGCCCAGCCAATTTTGGGATAGTCTCTTCCAAAAGGAAAAATCACATCTCTGCAGTTTCTCATACAAAAGAAAAAAGAGCATTTGCAGCAATATCCAATCCTAGTCTCTCACTCCTGGATCCCTACCTGGGCTACAGTGAGGGTGTTGAAATGTCAATTTAATCAAAGAAATGAACTCAGAACCCCTTTCCAACCCACATCACCTTCTTAGCAGCCCCCAGCAGAATCACAGTCATTTCTGGCTAGCAAGCTGAGAAGAGCTAACTAGCGCTCGTTCCATCCCTGCTTAGGATATATAAAAGTCCAGCGGGTGAGGAAGGGGACAGAGGGGGGGCCCAGGTTACCCCGCAAGCTTGCTGGTGACGAGAGAGGACTTTCTCTGGGGAAGATCCTGTGGGGTGGGGATGTGGTCGCCAGTCACGAGGTTCTTGTCTGGTCCTGCACTTGGCAGCTGCTTATTCTTCATCTTGGCTTTGGCCATGTTGTAGTCTCCTGAGTCAAAGTATTTTTGCTAAGAGACAAGAGGGATGTTTTAAGTGAATGAGGAACTCTGGCCTACCTCAAAAGCAAGGAGACTCACATCCATTATAAACCCTCATCATCTTAGATCTTTCCAGTCTTCCTTGATTAACCTCATGCACACAGAGTTTAGCATTAAGTACATGTACTATGTCTTCTCCCCTTTGTGTTCTGACCTTTTCAGGTATGTAAGTAGTTTCCTTGCTACAGTATAGATTTTAGGAGTTAAGAGATAGCCCCTACATCCTTTATACAACCATCAGTACTGTATGGTTCAACCAAATTACTGACTATTCATAAAGGCTTACTGAGGACCGGTCAGTGTCCCAATGATCTGGTGCCAAGGAAATAAATAATAAGATATAAAGAAGCATCAATCTGGCAACCTCAAGTCAACAATCTCAAAATTAGAAATGATTCCCTCAGACCATGAATAGAAACTGGGCTTATTCATGAGGATAATGTACTTTTCCTCTGACTCCCACTGCTCCCACACATGTTCCATGGCTGTGACAGCCTGCCCACGCCTGCCTTGCCTACAGCAAGGTAAACTGCAAATCAGCATCACATCATCATCTGTGACTAAGACTCAATAACTAGGATTCTCCACAGGGAATCTGTTTTACTGTCCATTTCATCCATACCTAGGAACACACCCCAGTCTAATGACTTATAATCCCTCAGTTAGTTTTAGGTACCTCTGGGGACAGAGAAACCTGATCAGGAGGCGCACCCTCCCTTGGTGAGGAGGGCTTGGTAAGGAGGGCTACCCTGGATGAAAAAATGTCTCTTGAGGGAGTACAGTTAATGACTGGTACTAATTTCAAGGGTCTGAAGAAATCTATTCATTTCAAGTTGAAGAAGTCTAGAGGACAGATGGTTTGATCTTTTTTTGAAATCACGCACCCCAAAATTTAGCTCTCATCTTAAAAAGTTCAGTCCTAAAACTCCCACCATCTAAACACACATATGCCTGGGGAAGTCAGCATTTCAGTTTCTAATGTCCTTCTTTCCCTCAATCCCCTAATGCCCCTATACCCAAATGTTTCAACATTAAGCCTTAATATCCTGTTTGGTACCATATCAGGGATTTATAATCATTTGCCTTGCTCTTTAAAAGTTTCTAATTGCTCTCTACTACTGCCCAACAACAAAACCTCCAGATAAGCATTTAGGAGAAGCTCTACAGTTCTCATCCCAAAAGCCCCCTTTGGCTCCAAAGTAAGAGGATAAGAGATTGTGTCCCATACCCCTTTCTGGAGTCTCTTCATGAGGAAGTCAGAGCCTCCAGGCTTTTGTCCTAGGCTTGGATATTTGGCCTTTAGCTTTGCCTCCTCGGCTCTCTCAGGGAGAATACCTTCTTTCTCCTGTGTGTCCTGGAGGAAACAAATGGGCCAATTATATTAAAAACTGAGAAGAAACTGCTTTTAATATCTAATAACTTTATACTATTAACTTTTCCTAGTGATCCACCTCTTGTAAACATTGTTTCTATTCTGCTCCCAAATAAAGCTAGAACTTTGTTCAAATCCATGAAGTTCAAAATGACTGTATTGTGAGGAAACCCAGCACCTCCCCCCCCAAAACCAGCTGCTTCTCACACTACACCTAAGGAACCACCCCGACCTGAGAGTACTGGATTAAAGATAACAGCTAAACAAAATACTTCAATCAAGAGCACACTATAGCTCATTCAGCATAGAAGCTAGGGAAGACAAAGAGAGAAAAAAGCTAACCAGGGCTTCTGGTAACCCAAGATGAATAGGAAAGTTCCCTGGCTGTCCCTAACACGCAGTATAGGTCAAACATAAAATTAAATGGGATAATTCTACTGAGATGTTCTCTTTTCCAGAGTCTAAGGTAGTCATCTGATGAGTCTCTCTATGGAGGAGACTAGAGCTATGTGGCCTCCAAAAACCTCCACCTTAGTAATGGAACAACATCGCTTCAGTATTTCCATAAACATTAGGTAGGAAGGTGACAGGTAGACAGAGATGAAAATGACACTATTTTTAAGCTCAGGAAAATTAAGATATAGGAGGTTCACTAGTATTTACTCACAGTTGTTGCCAAAAAGTCAACACCTTCCCAAGTGGGGCAAGTGATGGAAGTTTGGGGAACATGCCAAGAGCATTCAATTGGTTTGCAGGAGGGTCACACTGTTGTTATTACTCTTTTGCTTTTTGTGAGCCCCGATGCTCTTTTCTTTGATGGCTTTTTTTTTTTTTTTAAACAAGAACCTAAAGCCAAATTTGTGGCTCTTTTAATGCAATTATATCCCCTTCCCTTGACAATCCGGCAGTTATAACCAGCTGCCTTTCACGAACCTCTGATCCCCATACTAAATGTTGTAAGTCAAATACAAGCCCCAAGAAGAGATTTACTTGGGGTATTTTCTTCAGAGAATTGTGGGTGAACTAAGTTCCACCGCCCTGGAAGTCGGGGTGGTGGTGGAAAGAGGGTGGCGTCTTTCTTGTCACGACTCTTTTGCTGTCTTTTCTAGGTTTAACCTCCATTATTCTTTATGGAACTCTAGTCCTCTTCAAGCCTATTCGTTCCTGACTTGAGGGTGGGCAACTGACCATCCCTAACCGTCAAAATAGGTCTCTCGAGAAAGTTGCCGCCTTTAACTAGCCGTAATAGTTACTTCTTCTCTCTTTTCGGTGCCGATCTTTTAAACGTCTTTACCTCCACCTCTAGCTTTCTGATGCGAGGCCCTGGCCCGGGTTGTTAGGTCATTTACCCCCATTGACCAATAACACACATCGCTTCCCAGTACCACCGGCCCCCTTTCATTCACCCAGTGTTTCCAAACACCCGCCCCGTGCCCAAGCTTGGCCAATGACAGCACAGCTTCAATAAATAGAGCGGCAGGCTTACTAGCCAATCAGAAAGAGGAAGGTACTGACTGACAATGGGCCCAACCAATCAGCGCCAGAGCTGCAAGCTGTGTTGAAGCTCACCCGGCGTGATGCAAGTAGTGGCCAACCCCTGTAGAGCTTGAGACCATGGCGACCAATCCGCACTGGTGGGAGACCGTCTCCCGCCCTTCACAGTCGCCCCTGACTCGCCCGCCCGCACCCCCTCCATTTCACCTGCTTCTCCTCGCCGGTCTCCTCCGCAGGGTTCTCCTCTTCTTGTTTCTGGGACATGGCGGGACCAGGACTGTGGAGTATAGGGGGCCCGGGAAGTCAACCGGAGAAGGGAAGGGGGAGGGGAAACGGGGACAACCTGCGCTGCTTCTTCGGCTCCTGTCACTAGGGTTTCTCAGTCAAAATGGCGGCCCTTGCCTGTGACGTTGTGTCCGCCCCTTCCAATGGGAGCCAATGAGAGTGGGGTAGCTGGGACAATGACGTAACGATCTACCAATAGTTACTGGCTAAAAGTGGGTTCTTTGGAGGCGACAGGCAAGCTGGAACACCAATGTGGAATGAGAGTGAGCCCCAAGGACCAATTGGAAGCCCGTGGGGGATCCTAGGGGCGGCGCTGCTAGCCTTGGCATTTTTGCTCCTTTGGTGGGACCAGATTTCCATCAGCTCTAGCGCTTGGTACCCGGAAGGCTTTGCTGGGCTTCGAATTGGAGAGCGGAAGGATGGAGACCGTTTACTTTCAGCTGGAGAGGATTAAGCTTTGCGCAGTGTTAGCAGAAAATTATCTCCAGAAAATAATTTGGAGGTCAGGGTGTACCTTAAGTTGGTACTGATCACTATTGCAGATGTACTTGGCGTGTGGTACGGAGAGACTGGGACCCCCAAACCAAGTTGTCTTGCACAGACGGCTTTACGTTCCATGATTTAACTCATCTGTACAGTTTTATACTTGTTCAAGGTCAGCCCATGGAGAATAAGTTCTTGAAACGGAAAGCACAGTTCTAGGTACATGGTAAACATTTAGTAAATACAGTTAACATTAGTTAACGTATCCTGAGTCACACAGTTCAACAGTATTTGAGTGTTTGTGTGTAGATGGTAATGTATTAGTTTTACATTGGTACATACAGAGTAAGACAGTCTCTGCCCTTAGAAAGCTTAGTTTAGTGGGCATGAGGGGAGGGTTTTCACAGTGTGCCAGGTGTAGCCTAAATCCCTAAGAAGAGATTTTAGACACGTCTTACTGGAGGCTTAGTCCACAGTTTTTATATTAAAAACAAACATTAGTTTAAGACTGATAACAATGCAAAAATTCATACTAAAATTTAATTTTCCAGGCAGCTTCTTGTGACAGTCTTGGGACTATCTGCTCAATTTTCTGTATAATTAGGTGTACTTCTGGAAAAATCCGGAAGCACTGTAAATCACAGATTATTATAAAAGGCAAAATCTGGTAAGCATTGAAATAAACGTGTTAAAGTGCTTATAGGGGTTCAAAGGAAGACTAATTCAGTTTAGATTCCACACCCCCAGCCCCCAAAAAGACTTCATGAAGGAGGTGGTATTTGAAACAAGTTTTGTTTTTGTTTTTGTTTTTGTTTTTGTTTTTAAAGAGAGAATGTGGGGCATGGGGGAAGAGGCAGAGAGAGAATCTTAAGCCAGCTCCATACCAGTGCAGAGCCTGAAGTGTGTTGGGGGGTGGAGGCTCCATCCCATTACTCCAAGATCATGATTGGAGCCAAAATCAAAAGCTGGACCCTTAGCCAACTGAGCCACCCAGGCACCCCAGAAATAAGTTTTAAAGAACTTAGCAGTTTGCTGGGTAAAGATGAAGGCAAGAAGGGTATTCTAGGTACAGGGCTCAAAATGAAGGCCAGAAAAACAGAATTGAATGCAGATATATAGGGCTTTAAATGCCAGGATAAGGAACTTGTGAATAATTTAGTAAGCCATCTGAGACATTTAAGATTTTTAGGCCAGAGAGTGGCAGATCAGAACTGCCCTTTAGGAAGATTAATGTGGAGGTAATGAATAAAAATAATTCAGAATTCCAGGCAGAAAGACACCAGAGACCTGGCCCTCTAGCCAGGGGTGTACTGCAATATTCTAGGTGGGAGATAATTGGGATTTAAACTAGAGAGTGCAGTGCTCGCTTCGGCAGCACATATACTAAACTAGAGAGTGTAGAAAACTGTGAATCTAACTGAGAAAGTCTTTGGCAATGGAGTATTTGGGATTAACAGCTGAATGCATATAGGGAATTAGGACCCCATGTGCTTCAGGAATACTACAGAAACAATAAATTCAAGAAGAAGGGTGCCTGGGTGGCTCAGTCATTAAGCATCTGCCTTTGGCTCAGGTCATGATCCCAGGGTCCTGCGATCGAGCCCTGCTTGGTGGGAAGCCTGCTTCTTCCTCTCCCACTCCCCCTGCTTGTGTTCCCTCTCTCACTGTGTCTCTCTTGTCAAATAAATAAAATCTTAAAAAAAAAAATTCAAGAAGAGGAGTCAATGTGGGAATGGAATTGGAAATAGACATAAGATGAGGTATTTCATTTTGACTTTTTAAAACCAGTGGGCCATTTTGTGGAGATATCCAGGCAATGAAGCCTTAGATAAAGACCTCTGAGATCTCCTCCAGAGCTAAATATTTAGAGGTCTAGGAAATGTAGACCTAGAGTTTGGGAGAAAAGTAGAAGGTAATTATGAATAAAACTTCTTCACATAAATGTAAATAAAGTTGTGGAAGCAGATGATATCACCAAAGGAGAAAGAGATAAAGAGCCCCAAGATGGAAACCTGGGCAAAAGGTGGCAAGGGACACAGATACACAAGATCAAAGGGGTAAGGAGAAGAACGAGGAAAAAAGTGACAGAGAAATTAAAGATGGAGAGGACAGGGGCACCTGGATGGCTCAGCTGGTTAAGCATCCAAGTCTTGATTTCACTTGGGTTAGATCTTGGGGTCCTGGGATCAGGCCCTATGTCACCCCCAACTTCCGCTGAGCTCTGTGCTTGGCAGGGGCTCTGCTTGAGGATTCTTTCTCTACCTCTCCCTCTGCCCCTCCCCACAGCGTGTGTGTGTGTGTGTGTGTGTGTGTGTGTGTGTGTGCTCTCACTTTCTCTCTAGAGTAAATAAATAAATCTTAAAATAAAAAAAAAAGATGGTGGGGACATAACTACTTGCATGTGGTTAAAGAGTGAGGAAGTGGTAACAGTATTGAACAGTAAGGCAAAGAAGGGAATCAGAGCAATGAATTGAAGAGGGAGCAGTAGAGGATTTTCTTTTTTGGAAAACAGTAAAGATTCAAGCATGTTTTCAGAAAAGGCAAGGGTCTAATTGAGAGAAACTAAAAATGTAATTATCCATTTTAAAGAGGAGATAACGAAAGAATTAAAGTCTCAGAGGAGATCATTAGATCAAGAGGGAGAGAGGCAGACAGGCTGGAGGGGAAATGTACAGAGAGATCTTGAAGTAGCTAAACATTTAGGGAGGTCACATTGAATGGCCTTGCTCTCTGAGATCAATCTTTGGAGAATAAAAAGGATGGAAGGGTGGGATAGAGAATCTAGGGGAAATGGGGGTAGAAACAGCACTATAGAAAATAGCAATGGTTTGGGGCACCTGGGTGGCTCAGTGGGTTAAGCCGCTGCCTTCGGCTCAGGTCATGATCTCAGGGTCCTGGGATCGAGTCCCGCATCGGGCTCTCTGCTCAGCAGGGAGCCTGCTTCCCCACCCCCCCCACCCCCGCCCTCTCTCTCTGCCTGCCTCTCTGTCTACTTGTTATCTCTCTCTGTCAAATAAATAAATAAAATCTTTAAAAAGAAAAAGAAAAAGAAAATAGCAATGGTTCAAAACAGCAAGAAAGATCTGAGATTGGATGGGTCTGCATTTGTAATAGTCCTAATCACTGGGGCTTTCGTCAATAACTCCTGACTGCCTTGGAATGGAGAAAACAGACATCCTGTTAACAAGGGCAAAGGACTGCAAAAGAAGGAGCAGTGGAGGGAGGACAATGAGGAAGTCTAGATTGCTTTGCTGGTTTGTTGGTCATCTAGGCTTTTCAGGAAAGACAGAATAGAAAGGAGATGAAGAACTGGCCATGACACAGATGAAGCTCAGATTTGGTGGGAATGACAGGAGGAGGCAGAAGAGTAGGAGGTTGCAGTGAGAGGGGAATTTCACTGTGTATCTAAGAAGGTGGAGAAATTATAGGTTATGATGAGCTCTAGTCTATAATTATAATTGATGGCAGATATGGCATGGCTATAAAGTCACTGACTTTGATGTGATCAAGTAAATGTGAGGTCACAAATGTGGAAGTCTCAGAGCATAATCATAGGGAAGGAGGTTAGGATGGGGTAACTGTGACCTCTATGTTGAGAATGAGCTATAGGTCTCCAACACATATATGTTATTTAAATACATAAGGCACCACATTGTAATACCTACAATATTAGGTAATATCTATGACACTTACCAAATAAGTTGTATTTGTGTTTATTTTTTATTTATTTTTAAATATTTTATTTATTTATTTGACAGAGAGAGAGAGAGATCATAAGTAGGCAGAGAGGCAGGCAGAGAGAGAGCGGGAAGCAGTCTCCCCACGGAACAGAGAGCCCAATGCAGGGCTTGATCCCAGGACCCCAAGATCATGACCTGAGCCGAAGGCAGAGGCTTTAATCCACTGAGCCACCCAGGCACCCTGGTATTTGTAAGTGTTTAAAAGAACATCTCTGGCTGAGCTGGTCAAGGAATGTTTCAGACAAGGTAGAACCGAAACTGGGACCATAAGGATGAATAGGAAGGTTGGAGATTGGTAGGCAGCAGGAGGGAGGAAAGGAAGACAATTTAGAGGACCTCCTTATCTTATAAAAGATTAGAGGGTAAATGAGGACAATGGGAAAGGGAGAAAGAAACTATAGCAAGAATAACAACTTCCTCGGGGAAGAGAGATCCTACTAGCCCAATCTGTATTTTTGAAAAACTCCCCAAAGAGAGTCTACAGATAAGGCTGATCTGGGAACCTGTGTAGAAACAGCAAAACATGAAGCTGTTTAGGTCGCTGGGGTCCTGAGGAGATTAGTAAATCATGCTAAAGTTTTGGTGTTTCATGAAGACAAAGGGGAACCCAATTTCAAGCAGGAAAATGGTACTGTTATTTTTTTTAAAGGTGGCATTATGAACTTAATATTTTATTTATTTATTAAGATTTTATTTATTTAATTTTTTAAAAAGATTTTATTTTATTTATTTATGAGAGGCACAGAGAGAGTGAGAGGCAGAGGCAGAGGGAGAAGGCTTCCCAGGAGCAGGGAGCCCGATGTGGGACTTGATCCCAGGACCCTGGGATCATGACCTGAGCTGAAGGCAGATACTTAACCATCTGAGCTCAGGCTCCCTATTTATTTAACAGACAGAGAGAG